CTCATTTCGTCCCCAACCAAGGAAAGGAAGCTGTCCCCAAGGAAAGGCGCGGAAGCTGTGAACCTCCAAGTGCGCCACCATCGACGCTCAAGCAGCAAACCAAGCTGCCAAGCAAACCCGAGCCTCTGACCAAGACCCTGCCACGTAGGTGTGACCCAATACCCCCACGAAGCCCAGCCCCTACCCTAAACCCCAAACCCTAAACCCCAAACCCCAAACCCTAAACTTGGTCCCTGGCCATCTTCAAGACTCAGGGGCAAGCCCTTGGCGTTCAGGCGCTGGAGACACTCCTGGCTTTCCGCACTTCCGCTTCAGGCTTCTGGGATTCTGGCATATTCTTTTCGGGTCACCAAACCTCAGCCGCTTGCATTCTCAGCAGGAGAATTCAGAACCAAAGTGTTCATGAAGATGGCTTCGGGGCGTTGTGCTCGGAAGAGACTTGCAGGGTGTTATGGGGGCGTGGCTTGGTGCAGATCACGCAGTGCCTGCAGCGGCTGGAACTGCCTCCGCTGCTGCAGCATCTCCTTCTTTAGGGCTTTGGGGGGATAAGGGTACTAAGAGGTGCTTCAACTGGGTTCTTGGGAAGAGCGGAAGGCAGGGTTCAGGGCGCAGGGCATGGTGCGTGAGGCAGACATGGATTTCTGGCATCGGGAGGGGGAACTGGTCGGAAGCTGCACCGCATGTTTATACCATGCGACTGTCTCTTTCACTGTAGCACAAAGACAAAAGCAAGCCCCCTAAACCCTGAACCCTGAACCCTAAACCCCAAACCCTAAACCCTAAACGAAAATCCGCCTCGGGGGTGACCCCGGCACTCTGGAGGATGTTCTCCCAGGCAACTTGCGAGCTGCCCGGCCCAGCAAGGGTCAGGATGCTCCTGAGGGTTTAGGGTGTTGGACGTTTGGGGTGAGGGTAATTTAGGGTTTAGGGTATTTGGGGTTTAGGGTTTAGGGTCTAGGGCTTGGGGCTCCTGAGGTGTGGAAGGTATCTGGCATATTTAGGGTAATTTAGGGTAATTTAGGGTAGTTTAGGGTAATTTAGGGCAATTTAGGGTAATTTAGGGTTTAGGGTATTGAGTGTTTATGGTTTATAGGTATTTAGGGTTTCGGGTAGTTGGGGTTTAGGCTTTAGGGTTCTATGGTGGTTTGGGGTTCGGGGCTTTGGAGGGTTTATGCTCCTGGGGGGCCCGCGAGGTTAGCGCATGGCACGTGGGATGGTCGGTTTAACTCGAATTTTTGTAGAGATCAGAGTAGAACAGATATAGAATGTGAAAAAAGGGCAGAGCAGAATGGTCATGATTGTGGGCGCAGACTTTCGGCGTCATCCAGACTCAAGCTTCCAAGCTTGCCGTGGCTCACACATGGCAGACCCGCGAGTTTGGCGGCCGCAGCCGCCTGGAAAGAAAGGGGGTTTATGGTTCAGGGATGTAGAGACTCTAGGGTTTAGGGTTTAGGGTTTAGGGGCCGTAGGGTTCGGGGTGCAGAGACTCTCGGGTTTAGGGTAGATAACAGAGCTGAAGGCAGTGGCTGGGGGGGCGTAGGGATTTGGGTCACCTGCACTGTGCAGGCCGCAGGGTTTTGCAGCGAATACGCCCATCGAAAATCGCAATGTTCCGGTCAGCACTAAACATGAAGGGCTTGCTGAGGAGCGCCGGGCTTTCCATTTTGCCAAAGCTAACACTCCCCCCGAACACTGCGCCTAGTAGGGCCTACAGGGCAGAACATCAAAACTCCGTGGTAGACCTCTAGATTGCTCTAAAACAGGGTTCCAGATGGTTCCAGGAACGCAGTAGATTGATTCGGTTGGACCTAGCACAAAGGCAGTGCGAACCATGTTCCTTTTCGGGCTACCCGAGCCCCAAAACATATCATGGCCGATATAAGAAGGTACGGGGCCCGAATCTCGAGAACCTTCCCACCCCCCCTCTCTTCTTCACTCAATCCTCGACCCACCAACACCTCTCAAAGCCATATGAGCAGCCGCAAAAAATCTTATGTAAATGCTAATTAAAAAATCATGGGGTATCGCTTTTGGGGGGGGCCCTATCGCTTTATGGGACTTTACCTCAATGCTGCTACGAAAACCTATCGCTTTACTGCATATGAGACCCGAAACCTGCAACCCTACCGTGAAAACTCTTGAATTCCTAAACCCGTTCCTTTCTTCAGGACCTATAAACTAAATCCATATCCTAAACCTCGAACCCACAACCTGGGCCAGGGCCTTTGCCCAGCTCTTCGGGTGGCCAAATGGGTATCGTAGGGTTATCGCTTTGAGTATCGCTCTGGAATAACACCCAGCCCCACATTGTTGCAGAACGACTTCTAGATTCAAGATGCAGAGTATCGCTTTTGGGGGGGGCCTATCGCTTTCCGAGGTTTCAAGCATGACATAAGGTTTTTATCTCCGCCACAAGAGACCTCCTGCAACGTAATAAAAGCGGTCGCTCATATGGGGGTTTACCATATTGGGGGTACCTTGGCGGGGTGGGGGGGTCCTTGTTAAAATAAGGGAGGGGACTCTATTAAGGGTCCCTATTTTTTCGTAAACACCCATACACACTGTTTTTTCTACGTCATAAGCTCACCTCCAGACAGATCAACGGGTCGATCACCACAACCTGCACAAGCGCAGGGGCTGCAGGCGGATTTGGGTGCCGGGTTTACGGTCAAGGATCTGTTTGTTTTTTGAAATCCAGCGGACTACGTACATGCTTGTGCCGCTCGGCACCTGCACAACCGCTCGGCCGCCTCTCTGGTCTTATGCTGCTGAGCTCAGGATTTCGGGCGTGTGGTGAGAGATTTTTTGGCCATCGATGTCGGAGGGAGTCGACCAGGCGCCCCGAAAGCAAGGAGAGACTTTGTAGGTCTTGTTTTGAGGGAGAGGTCACAACATATCATCTCAGGGTCTAGGCTCGGATTCTGGGACGGCCCTATCCAAAGCCAGGGGGAGAAATGTCAAGAAGGGTGCGCCCGTGAGCCTCTGCGCCGATTGCCTTGAACCAGCGCAAGGTTCCAGGGAGCATCAGCTCCGTCATGATCTCCTCAAAGGAGCACCGCGCCGTGCGTTCGACCAAGAACGCGAAGCCACAAAGTCGAGGGGAAACTGTCGCGGCCTACTTTTCGCCAAGTTTGGTCCTACACGCCTCTACCTTGGGAGATTTCGTGGGTGCCCCGCCGCTGTCCTTGAGCATCATGCGTCCCCGGACGTAGCCCCCAGTGAGCCCATGTTCAGCCTGCGGGCTGCGCTAAACCCTACTCGGCCAGCTGAGTACCCCCAACACGACAATCGATTGCCGCTCTCTAATGCGACACCTGTTGGGGAGAGCTATGAATCCACAAAGCCTCTGAGCCTACCTCCTCCCATAAGGCTTGCAGGCTTCGTGTACAGCTGGGGATCTTGAGAGCATGTTTCGTCATTGAGGCGAGGGGCTTCCTTTCCTGTGGACCCCAACCCTGCTGCTCTACATCCTAACCCCTGAACCCGAAACCCTAAACCCCAAACCCCAAACCCTAAACCCAACAGAAGCGATCGTCTGCTGCTCTCCGGCCACAGATAAAGCCGAAGTTTCTCAACGCCTGGAGGGAGCCGATGGCGCCATACATGGCCGGCTCGCGACCCTCGTAGAGCTCCTTCTTTTCTATGTAGGAGAGATGACGAAAACCACACACAAGGGAGGGTTTAGGGTTTAGGGATTTAGGGTTTAGGGTTTAAGTTGCGGGGTGGGGTGGGGTGCGGTGGGGAGAGAGTGGTGCACTTTGCCCACTTCTATCAGTGTTAGATTCTCCAGCGACCATTCGATCTTGGCCCATGCTTGGCGGCGTCAATTCGCGGATCGAGCATTCAGCCCCAGATTCGCCTGCGCGGTAGAAATCTTTGTCCCCCGACACTGGCCAAAGGGACACACTTACTCTTACACACTTTACTTCTCCAGAAGCCGGTTGAAGTTCACGGCAGCTCTCCGGCTGCACGAGAATGTCTGAGTGGAACTTGGCGCCAGTGTCCTGGAGTTTCCGCCGAACGACTGCTAAGGCTGCAGTGGGAATTGGGGGGAACCAAGGGAGAGTAGATTACGGCATTAATTTCCCGTGCTCACACACACAAGTCATGAAGAACTCAAGGACCCCCTGCGCATGCACCGGACACAGGTGTTGGAGCCTTGACCTCTGACACGCTTGTGACCGCCGACACCCTTGCAACCTCCATATCGCACATGCGCGGCAAGGAACCTCGATCGCCTGCTGCATCTGCTGCCGGCACAGGTAGTGCACGGTGTGTCCTCACACAGCTTTTAAAGACACGGAACCCTAAACCCTAAGCCCTAAACCCTGCATCCTAAGGTAGTAAGAGGGAGGGAGAGAGAGCCGTAGCAATTCCGGGCTTCCTTGCTCCACCAGCGCCCGGGCGACGCCCAAGGATGGGTTGATGTGGCCAGAGGCCATGGGGAACCTGAATGGAATGCATATAGCTGAGCTTCTTTAGCACCATACCCCGGACATTAGGCGCACCTGATTCGGTGGTTCCAAGCTCTTTGCTCGTTGTCGGGAGCTTGGTGTTTGACACATTCATGGCTTTAAGCTGCCCTGAAAGTTAGTCTAGCAGTCGCAAGAACTAACATACCCCTCAATGTTGAACGTGAAGTCGAGCCATCACCTACAAGAAGCGTTGCGGCCATCAGATTCTTGGCGCGTCACAGGTGGCCACTGCAGTCCAAGAGGCACGAACGCAAAGGTGTGTGAATTTGCCATGGCTGTCAAGAGCTTGGCTGGGACCGCACTACAAAGGCTGGAGCCCTTTTTCTCCTGCGATTGCAACGGTGCTCTAAGTTCTAAGCGGTCACATATACTGAAGCCTGGTTCAATTCTTGCACCTTCCGACCCGGCTGACACACCCCATCAGCTAATCCCACGTCTGGTGGCCTGCTATTTTCACAAGCTCCTTTCACAAAAACCTGCTTCACATCCCCGACTCAGGAAGCTATGCCAGCCAAGCGCCCCCACCTCGTTGATGTCCCGCTGATGCCGCATGCGGCTGGCGCTATCTGCCAGCAAAGTGCTTTGAAAGAAGCTTTCGGGAGCCCCTTTGGGGTCCCGAACCTCGGGTGCGCTAGAGGTCTGACTTTGTGAAAAGCTGAGGGCCGAGAGGGTTTCGTTCGCTGTGGTGTGTCGGCCTTGAAGGCCCTGAGTCCTTCGGGTGAGAGCGATGGGAGGCGTAGAAAACAAGCGTCTCTTTCAAATTCAGAGCTCTGTACCTCAAGAACCCCAGCGCCATCATTTTCTCGGCTCTTGCTTCCAAAGCCCCCTTTCGAGGGTTCTTCGGGAACCTACCTCCAACAACCAAGTCTTTTTCGGCTCGCCATGCACCCTGGAGCTCCCATAAGAGGCACCGACGAAAAAAAAACACACACACACACACACACACACACACACACACACACACACACACACACACACACACACACACACACACAAAACTTGGACTGTTGGAAGGGCCTCGGCACAGCCCACGCTCCTGGGCGAGAGTCTTGGGGGGAGCTTCCGTGCAGCGGGTGGAGGGGAGTCAGGCAATGATAGCTCAGCTGACTCGGTTTCCGTGGTGCTGAGCGGGCTGATGGCTGGCGGGGCAACTCTCAACACGTCTAAGAGCCTTTGCCGGTGATAGCTGCGCTACATCTTCGCGGCTATCCAGAAGTGTCCCCCGACCGTGCCTCCACTGGTTCGGGTGTCCTGGATTCCTGGTACAAGGGAACGATGGGCCAGCATGTTGGGCTCTGGTCTCCTAAGCCCTACACGGCTCTATTTTAAGGCTCTTCCCACCAGATTCCGCCGGCCTGCCATGCTGGGTGATGCTACATGCTTGCACATGAACATACACAGCCCAGCAAACATGGCAACACTCCGCAAGGAAACACACATCAACAATCTAAACCATCTTGAACGCACGCCTCCATCAGCGACTTGGCGGCAAGCTGCGCGGCCGCAAGGACCCCGCCCGAGACCCGCTGCGCTGTTCGCCTGGAAGCCTCTCGGGGGCTCTTCCGCTGGGTCTTGCCAGAAGAGTCAGTGCTAGGCCGCTAGGCTCACGGACTTTCAGGATTTGAGGGTTGTTGGCTCTTGTTGACACAGGCACACAGTCGCTTGTGAGAACAACCATCTTTGGGATTGGCATTCGAGTTTTGGGGGCGGGGCTGCTTGCAGCTTCTGGGTCCTCAGCTCCATGTCAGCGGCACAAAGCGCCCTCGATGACAGGGCTAAAGGTGCCTCGGGCGTCACTGGCTCTGCCAGCGTCCGATCACTGTCCTCCGGCACAGGCAACTTCCAGCTTGCTCCCGGGCTTGTGCATGCGAATGTCAGCACAGTTGCGTTCCAGATGTGTCGTTCATCGCAGTCTGATGCCATGATGCTCATGTACTTGAGCGCTCAGTGCAAGTCGAGATCGATTGTGTTGCCGTGCATAGTGTAGTGAACTCAGTCGACGACAATTGCCAAAAAAACATGTCACGACACGAATGACTGACGCAACTTGCAGCTTTGTGCAGATTCTACTACCCCAAGTCACACATCCACACCCTCCCAGCCTTCAAAACACTGACATCCTTTCCTTGACCCCCAGGTGCCCCTTCATCCTCGAAGGTCTCCGTTATCAGCGACGACAGGAGTCGGCCGCCTTTGACACCTCGGATTTTCAACATTCCTTGGGTTGGTTCCAACCGAACATGGAGCCATATCTGTTCCATCACCGGCACCGGTGCTCTCAAGGCCGCAGCTGACACGGTGCCCTGCTGAGAACCCCAGCAACTGGTCGCGCGAAAGAGCCGAGGCTTCACGATTCCCATGAGAGACCCGAAGCTCCCCATTCAAAGGACTTAAACCCTAAACCCTAAACCCTGAAAAGGCCTTAAAAGGCCGTAAAAAGCCCTGAGTTCCCACCCCAAAAATCGCCCCCCTTTCGGGGCGCCTGAGGCGTTGCGCTCCCGGAGGCGGCTCTGGGCCAAGTCGTCGATGCGCTGCCCGAGCCTACTGTGGTAAAATGGGGTTTAGGGTGTAGGGTTTAGGGCTTAGGGCTTAGGGCTTAGGGCTTAGGGTTTAGGGTTTAGGGGGTTGCATTGAGGGTTTTGGGGTCTGGTGTCGAGGTTTTCTTTTGGGTTTTGCTGGAGGATTTTCGGATGTTAGAACGGCCACCAGAGACTCTTGTTGGACATGTCGTGGGCAGAACGGCTGCAAAGAGCGGGAGGATTGTTGAACACATTGGCTTGAACTGAGTATCGTTGAGAACGGCTTCAGAAGCGAAGCCATCCCCCCGCGACAAAAAGAGCTGTCTCTCCGCTCTCACCTAACCCCTAAACCCTAAACCCTAAACCCTAAACCCTAAACCCTAAACCCTAAACCCTAAACCCTAAACCCTAAACCCTAAACCCTAAACCCTAAACCGCGTCTCCTCTGATCCGTTATCCACAGCTGCTCGTCCAGAGCAGCCAGGGCTGCGGACCTCGGAGCGAAAAGAAATTCCCAGCGCCCGGAGGCAGCGTCCAGCACAGCGACTTTACTTGGGCCCTAAAGTTATAAACATGTTTTGAAAGAAATTTGTGGTTGAGGCGGGTTTTTGAATATATATATATATATATATATATATATATACGTGTATATATATATATATATACACAAGAATATATGAATATATTAAGGTTATCGTACAGATATATATATATATATATATATACACAAAAATATATGAATATATTAAGGTTATGTGTACAGATAAATATGTTGTTTAGTGCACCTTAGCGGCTTCGAGGCTCCCCTTACGAGGCCCCCGGCTCGCGGTTGATGGCCGCCGTGGTCTCCGCCTGGCCCCCCGGGCTGTTCTCAAGCTCCCTCAAAGGTCTCGGAGACTTGGGGCGTTTTGGGGTTAAGGGTCTAGGGTTTGGGGTATAGGGTTTAGGGTTCAGGGCTTAGCCCAAGGGTGGCTTCTGCCAAGGAAGGCCACCGACATGTGCTAGAGTACCCCTGGCCAAGCGGGAGAGATCCAGGAAGAGGCTGCTGGCTCTACAAGTTCAGACGCCAAGCTGTCCGTGACATGGCGCGATGCATCAACAAGGCCAGCCTGCCACGAAACACCCCAAAACACCCAAAGCTCGATAAGCCCTCCAACCCGGTCCCAAGCGAGTCACTATTTTGGGGACCACATGAACCCTGAAATTGGGATCATATGCCGATCATCCCTAAACCCTAAACCCTAAACCCTAAACCCTAAACCCTAAACCCTAAACCCTAAACCCTAAACCCTAAACCCTAACTTATGGTATAGAGATCTGCTCTGCGGACCCGGAGTTCGGCAACCAGTCGCTGCTGGAGGGCCACGACGTCTTCGCTGAGGCGGACCTCTCAAGAGAGACACCTACAACTGAGCCCAATGAAGCTACGAAAACTGAACAGAATACATACCTGGGTCTCCAAACGACCATATTATTTTTGGTTGTTTGGAAAAAAACCTGGTTTTTTAGGAAACGCCCGTAAAAAAAGCAAACGCCCGTAATTCGGGAAACGCCCGTATTTCCGAAATCGGGGAGGATTAGGATTTTACTGGAAACGCCCGTAATTCCGAGATCGGGGAGGATTAGGATTTACTGGAAACGCCCGGAATTCCGAGATCGGGGGGTATGAAGAGTTTACTGGAAATGCCCGTAATTCCCAAATCGGGGACACGAGAATTCGGTATAAAAATGTATAAAAACAAATATACAACCCACCAAGCACCAAGCTTATAGCGGAGCCTGAACCTTTGTCCCCTTCCAGAGGTTGAAGGGTTTTGGGTTTAGAGAGGGAACACAGGAATGCTTGGGTGAACCCAACTGTCAAATCCGACCCACAATCAAACCTTTCCCGAAGCCCTGTTTTGGATTGAGAGTTTTTAGGGTTGAGGGTTCTTGGGGTTGAGGACTTTTAGGGTTGAGGGTGTTTAGGGTTGAGGGTGTTTAGGCCGGTTAAGGGTTTTTAGGGTTGAGGGTTTTTAGTGAGGGTTTTTAGGGTTGAGGGTTTGTAGTGAGGGTGTTTAGTGTTGAGGGTGCCACTACAGTTGCATGTTGGACTGTTTTTTTCCAGTTGGGATCGGCAATAGCACCCCAAACGCCCGTAAAACCCCGCAATTCACCCATAAAAACCCGTAATTCGCCCGTAAACTTGTTGATTTAGGGTTTCCGTGGCCTTACCAAGAGATTGTACGGAAAAAATCCACGCAAAACCGCCCATAAAAAACCATAAAAAAAAAAAACCATAAAAAACCGTAAAAAAAAACGTAAAAACCCATAATTTGAGCTGGCGCGGAAAGGTCACGGAAAGGGCTTCTGCTCTGTGATGCCTTGAACGCACCCTCAAATTCGAAACATTGCACCTATAATTCCACGGAAAGCCGAAATACGGGAAACTCCCAGAAAACCCTTGATCTACGGAAAGCCCCCTGACATCTACGGAAAACCCCAGAAATCTATACGGAAACGCCTCATGTATAGAAAAACCCATGAATCCCGCCCCATCTCAAGCCGAGAAGGGTGGGTTGCCAGGTGGGGATTCGGGATTGGAGTTTTGAGGGGCTCAAGATTGGTTGTTTTTGGCATGCTCAGCTGTTTGTTTGGATCAACCCCGAAACCCCTAACGCCCATAATTCTGCACCAATCCTCAAAAACCACTAAACGCCCATAAAACCCCTAAACGACCATAATTCTGCACCAATCCTCAAAACCCACTAAACGCCCATAAAACCCCTACACGCCCATAATTCTGCACCAATCCTCAAAAACCACAAAACGCCCATAAATATCCGTAATTTCAAGAGCCAAAAGCAGAACGCCCATAAATTTCCTAAACGCCCGTAATCACCCGTATTCGCCCGTAAAAACCCGTAAAAAACCAAACGACCAAAAATAATTGGGTTGTTGGGGTTCCAGGTATGTATGTGTGTGTATATATAGATATATCTCTCTCTCAACAAACACCACAATAGTAACAATAATAATAATCATCATCATCATCATAATCATAATGACAATAATTCGCCTCGGTTTCCTGCCGAGAAGCGTTTGGAGCAAGCAGACCCGGATCGGGCCTCCTTCCTGTCCCCCTAACCCATGCAAAATTTTGCGGCGGAGCCCCCCCGCATCGGTTTGTGGAGGTTCACCTCAAAACCCACAAGACGACCTCCCTCACCCCCCACCCCACCCCCACCCCCGCCCAACGCGCCCCATGGATCTCGGTGGAGCGGCTGCCGCCAAGCTCTTTGTGCCCCGAGGACGTGGCCCGACTTCGGCCCTTCTCACATGCCCGAATGACTTTCCGGGCTTCGGCCCGGGCCTTCTTGTCGGCCGCGCTCAATCGCTCGTGGAATGTATGCTGGGCGAGCAAAGCCTTCGCCGAGGCCAGCGCGGCGGCCTTGGCATCCTCCTCAGCTTCCCGTCGCGTTTTTTCTTTCTGACTCTTGTTCTCCAGGTGGGTGGCACGGCAGCGTTTTGGGCCAAAGCAGCGCGGACGGGCAGCGGAAGCCTTCGCAGCGCCCGCGGCCGTCTCGGCGGGGGCACTGCTGCTTGGCTCGGAGGCGCGCCTTTTCTTGCCGTTTGGCCAGCCTCCGTTCCCGGGCGACTCAACTGCAGCGGCGTGCGTTCCTCTTCCACGTGCGCCATGTTTGGACAAAGTGCGAAAAGCTACTGACTTTGACTTGAGAAAAAAAGGCTGCAGATGCGGGCACTCAGCAGGATCCTCGCGGTAAGGGCGGTGCTCATGAAGGAATCTCTCACCGCGAGGAGCTGCGGCGCTGCGGTCATTGGCAGGGCAGTACATCATCTTTTCACTCCTTTTAAGCGCCCACACACACATACCCCACAAAGCCGAATGCATTCAAGTCGCACAGTCGCATACACAGATCCTAGTCGCAATCAATCAAGTCGCAATCTTCGCGCAGAGTCGCATTTTATGCACTCGACAGTCCTGATCGCACACACAGATCCTACATCAACTCACAATCACGCTCAAGTCGCAACAACCTTAAACCAAAGTCGCACTGCACACACAGGCTCATTCCGAGTCGCACTGCACACACAAGGCTCTGCTGCAAGCACACAGGTTGCATCCACCCACCCCAGGTTTTAAGTAAACTGAGCATGTGGGCCCTTGGGCCTGCACTTGCCTTTCCTTACAAGGGTGTCCAGAAAAATGGCCCCTGTCCTTTCATAGCAAAAAAATTTCGGCCGGCTTCGCCGGATGGGCTTTTGTGGAAGCTTTCTGAAGCCTGTGAAGCTTTGCGGCCCTGTCGGGCTCTCCTGTGTCCTTGTGGTGCCACACGAAGCCTTTTGGAGCTTCCCGGAGCTTCCCGAAGTCTTTTTCTTCGTGTGCAATCGTATGGATTGCTGCCCTTATGCCCCCCCCCAACAACCTTTATTCTGCCCGCTGAGCCTATCCCCCATTTTTGCGTTTTTCAGAGATGGGTGCTCCTTGCCCAACCAAGACACCCTTGCAAAGCACTTCGCACAGAGTCGCATTTTGTATATTCCACAAACCCGAATGCCCGCTCAAGTCGCACACACAGATCCTACATCAAGTCGCAGTTAATCAAGTCGCAATCTATCACGTCGCAATCTTCGCACAGTCTCGCATTTCACACACGCACACACACACACAACCTACATCAAGTCGCAATCTTCGCACATACTCGCAGTTTATGCACCCTAATGCACTCAAGTCGCACACACAGATCCTACATCAATTCACGATCACACTCAAGTCGCAATCTTCGCACAGAGTCGCATTTTGTATATCCCACAAACCCGACTTCGAGGGTTTGGAGAGCAGTTTAGGGGCCTGAAAGATCTCAAACTGGGGGGCCTCCAGCGCCCCACCCCCCAGCCCCACCCCCCAGCGCCCCACCCGCCAGCGCCCCACCCCCCAGCGCCCCACCCCCCACCGCCCCACCTCCCCACCCCCCCACCCCCCCCCCCCCCAAATTTCCTCCTTTCCTGTCTTGAGGCCGGCCCGGCTGCCGAGGCGGACCCGCGCAAGCGTTTACAATAACAACAATAATAACAATCATAATGGTAATAAGACTATACTCATCATAATAATACCCGCAGGACGCCAGGTTTGCCGTCAGCTACGGCTGTACCTTTGGGGTGGGGGGTGGGGGTGGGGGTTAAGAACGTCATTCATATTGCATGTTTTCGCCTCTTCGTACAACGTACTGCACAAGGATGTGGAACAAGAAAATCTGTCACAAGCGTCCAGCCTGTCGCGACCATGCCCAAAACACGTCCCACAAAAACCGTGAGATCCTGAAATTTGGCAAATGCGTTTTCGGAAATGCAAGCCTCCAAAAAGCACAGCTGCACATGAAAACATCGCAAATAACAGTGTTTGCCGCGGGGCAACACACACATGTAAATGCTGCCTGACGGCAAACGTGGCGTCAAACAACACCAGGACTTGCTTAACAATCAGCAAAAACCCACAGCGGCAGCGCAACGCCAAAAAAAACATCCAATAAAATTGAACATCATGAGGTGCCTCCCGTCCCACAAAAACCAATGAAAAGCCATGCGCGATGGCAAACCGTCCTGTGCGTAATAATACTACAAAATAATACCCAATGCAGAATACATAATACAAACACATAACATGAATAATCATAATCAGAATCATAATAACAAAAACTGGAAGAAGAACAAGAAGAATAGCAATAACACATTCGCACCCGGCGTTCAGTAGTAAGTGGCCCCCGGATCTCGCGCTAAAACCCAAGCCTGCGATCTGCGAGTGCTTCGAGCGAACCTTTCATTCATGAAAAAACGAACAATGTTCTGGTCCGAGAACGTAAAGCCGCCGGGTTCGCCCAAGTTTGGGAAACCAGGCGCATGTTCCGCAAATTCCGACATACCATCTCTACATTTCGGCTACCGAAAACCTGATTCGAAAACTCCAGAAAGAGCTGTCTGATTCACTTGGCAGGTTGCAACCCCGAAAAGCGAGCCCCCCCGACACCCCAACCGTGAAGTCCTGCAAAGTCGTGTAGTCACCACCTCAAAAACCCTAAACCCGAAACCCCAAACCACATGAGCTTCCGGTACCTGAGCTTCTTGGATGCAGGTCTTTGCATCCTGCACCCAGGACGTGGGGCACAGGTTGAAGCTGAACCCGCCTGATCTCGCCTGCCCTCTACACTCTCCCCAAAAGAGCAGCAGCGAGAGCCCCTCGTGAGGTTTGAATCTCCTCGCCTTCAATCTTGGCAAGCCTATGGCTCCCTTCTCTGCTAACTGAACATGCCCAGCGTCCCGTCTGCGAACGCAACTGCTGTAGCAGAATCCCCCCGAGTTTGCACGACTCCTAAACCCGCAGCAAACAGCCCTGCTGCTTTTTACATACAAGCATTCAAAGCGCCATGACATCGGCACATCTTCGTAAAGCCTCCTATAAGGGAAAGCTCCTAGATTCCGAAACCCGACCACCGTTTCCACAACGTCAAGATTTGCTGCCAGGCAACTAAAACATGAAAACCCCTATGCAGAACGCCCCTGGCCACCGCCATTGCCATAACCGTCCCCAAACCCCCTCCTAAAGCTCCAAATGGACGGAGGTCCTGGTGGCACTCCTGCCGCAAGGTGTCGAGCCGGCTTTGGACGAAGGTCTCCAACTTGTCCTGCCCAAAGGTGTAGCGCGCAGTGAAACCCTAAACCCTAAACCAAAAACCTAAACCCTGGACCCTAAACCGTAAACCCTATAACCCTGTTACCCTAAACCCGAAACCCTAAACCCTTTCTAAACCCTCAAACGCCTGGGCCCCCAAAGCATCCTCAATCTGGTTCCGCAGCTCCCCGAGACGGGACCTCGGAAGAGGGGTGGAGGAAGAGGGGGGGGGGGTGTAGGGTCGATACAGTTCAGACTGTAGAAGTTAGGGGTACCCCTTTGATACCCCAAATACAATAGAATCCCCTTAAAGGGACCCCTAAACAGGGTGCCCCTATTTTCGGAAACCCCTATATCGCAGAAGGGTTACCGTTTTGGGGGGTTTTATTTTGGGTTGTGCGGAGTGGAGTGTGCTCGGAAGGACTGAAGAAATCGCAAGGCTCCAAATAGAGTTGAAACAATCGAAGGAATCGAGGAAAAGAAAGATTGCCAGGGCAAAGGGAATGCTCCAAAGGCCGAAAGAAAATCCGGACCTGAGCCCTGCAACTCCTCAGCCCTAACACGCCACACTCCCCAAGTGTCATTGTCGTCCCGAATGGGCAAAATCCGCCATAACTCCACCTGAACTCAAAGCACTCTTCGAAGGCTGAGTCCCAGAGCTCGAAAAGGTCTGCAGCCCCGCGGCCGCGCGACTGCGTTCCCATGGGAGGAGGGGGAATAGGGGGTGAGCACTTGACGCCTCTTCACTCTTCATCACACGCTTCACACTTTCCTCTGCTCCTGGGGGATCACGGGTCTTCTTCGGAAACTTCACTACTGGAGGTGGGTGATTTTGGAGGAGATGACTTTGAACCTCTTGGCCTCCACGAGGCCCTCGAGCTCCACCTTCACTGCGCGAAGACGGGCCCTGCGAGTTGGGCCGGGCTGCGGGGGAGGATCCGAATTTCCAGGTTTTAACCTCTCTCCTCGGGGTCCCGTCCGTCACTGTCGGTAACCCCAGAGGCCCTGAAACACCCCAAATCCCTGGACAAAAACCAAGCCTCTTGTAAGAAAAGAGCCCTAAGCCCGAGTACCCTGAAACCCTAAGCGCAAACACTAAACCCTGAATCCTAAACCCTGAACCCTAAAACCTAGACCCTAAAGCCCTAAACCCTAAAACCCTAACTCCTATAACTCCTAAACCCTATGAACCCCAATACCCTAAAACCCTAATACCCTAGAAGCCTTGAAGCCTAGAACCCTAAAACCCTAAAGCCCTGAAGCCCTAAAACCCTAAAACCCTAGAACCCGAAACCCCTGATTCGTATAACTCCTAAACCCTACGAACCCTAATACCCTAGAACCCTAACACCCGAAAACCTTTAAAACCCTAAAACTAAAACCCTAAACCCCTCAACCATAACTTCTAACCCTATCAACCTATCCCTAGAACCCTACAACCCCTAAACCCTACAACCCAAAAAGCCTGCAATTTTGAAACCCTCAGACCCTAAACCCTACAACCACTAATACCCTAGAACCGTAGAACCCACAACCCTACAACCTATAACCCCCCACCCCCCAAAAAACACCTTAAAGCCCCTTAAACCCCACAAGCCGAAAGAAAACCTAAAACCCCTAAGACCCTCAAACCCCGTCTGTGCGAGAAGAAAGGCTCCGGGCGCCCAGCTCCAGGTCACGGTCCCGCACGCCGCTTGGCAGCTCCCGGAGCCGGGCCTTTTGAGAGACAAAAAAGGGCGAAAGGTGAGGTTTAGGGTTTAGGGTTTAGGGTTTAGGGTTTAGGGTTTAGGGTTTAGGGTTTAGGGTTTAGGGTTTAGGGTTTAGGGTTTCGGGTTTAGGGTTTAGGGTTTAGGGTTTAGGGTTTTAGGGTTTAGGGTTTAGGGTTTAGGGTTTAGGGTTTAGGGTTTAGGGTTTAGGCTAGGGTCTGCAGCTTGGGATGGTCCCCCTTATACTAACAGTTCTTAAAAACATCCCAATCTGCAGCTTTCAGACTTTCGGTGGTTCTGAGCTTGGGGGGTTTGAGGGCAAGAGCGCGCGGTGGCCAACACCGAAACCAAGGCAAAAAAAAGAATGAATTGCTTTCAGCCCGGGCTTTTAGGGCTTTATAAGGGTTACGAAAATTACGGGGGGGGGGGGTGTACAATTCTAGGACGCATAGCATACGCATAACTACAGGGCATATAGGGGTTCATATAATAGGGATTGTAGGGTTGCCCAGACCACCGACGCGGGCTCTCAGCGCCAGGCGGTAAGCTGGGACTCGAGACGCCCCTGGCATCGGATTCTTGCAAATCGGAACTTCAGTATGTGGCACACTTCTAGCTATCGTGTGAGATATATATATATATGTAGCGATATATGATTATATTATTGTACCACAATTTCATCGCATTATGTGCTTATGTGGGGTATGTTACAAGATTGCGGAAATATGAGATTCTGCTATAGGGCTGAGGGTTTGTGGGGTTTAGGGCTGAGCTCTACAGAAAAATTCTTGTCCAGCAGCGAAGACGCTTTCTCGAAGTGCACTTTAGACTCGGTCCTGGAAGGGACGTGTCGCGCTTTGTTTCTCCCCTTTTGGTGGGGGGGGGGGGGGGGCTTCACATATAAAAGTCTGCCGCGACCATGCCCACAAAAACTGGTATTTACAGCGTTTTATGCCCAATACACTGGCATTTGCAGCGTGACCATGTTAGAAAAAAACCTCAAAATAAACCCATGACCCGCCGTTCCAAACCCAAATATCTACCCCATAATTGGGCAAATAGCATGACCTCCAAAAAGGACAAAGTTTTCCTCTAGTGCTAAACACCCCCGCCTGCCGATGTTTTCTGCCTGTCCTCACAGTCACTTCACAAAACTACCAAAACTAACTAGGCAAATAGCATGCCCCCCCCCCCCCCCCCCCACAATGAACAAAGTTTCCTCTAGCGCTAAAAAAAACCCACGCCTGCCGATGTTGCGTGCCTGTCCTCACTTGTGTACATGCCTTCCGTACCACGCGCGGGAGCGCGCCCCGAACCTTGTAGTTACTGCATGTGTATATTCATCAGTAGATTGGGATTTGGGGAGGGGGATATTGCTGGTAATTATTTCGGTCAGTACGGCCAATATTTGGCCATCCTCGAACTTTTTCCACCTCAACAAAAGGGGCCATCATGAATTACAAGCCCTAAACTATAAGCTAACCCTAAATCCTTAAACGGCTATTGAATTACTTAATGCGGGCATACTTAAAGTATAAATATTGGGGGGGGGGGGACCGGGGGCGGAGCCTCAAGGTCCGACCTTGACAACGTCAGCTTGGACCTGGGCAATGTCTTCCCCCCTAGGCGGCGCCGTCTTCTCAAGGGGGACTCAGGAGGCTCCGTTCGCATCCAAGAGAAGTTCGACGCTAAGGGCAAAGCGAGGATCGTTTCCGGGCATCCCCTTTTTTGTCAAAGCCGCGGGCGCTCTATCACTGGAGGTCTCACCAGGATGTCTGTAGCTCCGAACCTGGCCCTGGGATGGGGATGTTCTGTAGGGCTTCGTTTTTTTGCGGGGGGGGGGGGGGGGGGGGGGGGAGGGGGCGTTTTGAAGGCATTTGAGGGCGCTGAAGGGGTTCAAGACTCTTGGACTCGAGAGCTTCTTCTCGGCGTAGGAGACACGAAAAAATCTCAGGGGAACAAGCGTCGATGCTCGTGCTTGCACCCTTTACACCTTTCATTTGCAAGGTAACAAAACCACACATGGCGGCAATCGTGTTTCACAACCCGAAACTCTAAGCCTTAAACCCTAAACCGTGATCGTGTTTCAGGGCTTGGCTGGACCAGGCTCTTATCCTCTGAAGTGTCGCAAGCTGCTTTCAGCTCGCAACGGCGGGCAGCGAGCGGCGGCTTCCGGCTGCATTGGTGCGGGGAAGCACGCGGGCGGAAAGAGTATAGGGGGTACAGCACACTCCAAGAAGTTGGAACATCCTTATCCCTATGCCCCGAAAGGCGTACCAAAGGGAATCCCGGCTCTAATCATCTTTAAACCATGTTCCAACTTTCTGGAGTTTGCTGTAGGGTTTTAGGGTGTAGGGTTTAGGGTTTGGGATATTGGGGTTGGGGTAAACAGCTAGGACTGGGGTAGGATGGTCCCGCACTGGCAGCAAGTTTAAGTTAATTGTATTTGGAATACGTGCCGAAGCACGGTTCTTGGCGGAAGATGACTTGGAGGCATAGGATCACACGACAAGGTCTTGGTAGCCCATTGCAGGAAGGACTACTATAATCACCTTAATGATTCGAATAGAGTTGATTTGGTTGGTTATTATGATTGTATAAATACATAAGGAACCATAAGGGAATACTATTAGTGATTTTTCCGACCCCTATAGTATGTGATCCAAACTGTGGTCGGTGGCTCCCAAGGCCTGTGTCTGAGTCTTCAAATGTTAAGACAGCAGGCGCCGCAGTTCTTTGGGCTTGCTCATCCAGGGGAGGCACAACCCAAGGGTTAGGCAACATGGCAACATCAGAAGCAGGTGCTCTCGCGTGGATGAGTAAGTCAGGCCTGGGCAAAAGCCTGAGCTTTGAAGCGCGTGCCACCCAGCGTTTTTCCGCAGCTTGCGAGTCTGTCTTGTCAATTCTAAGCTGGGGAGGGAGGGGCCAGGATCGGCCAGTAGGCCTGATAATCCCCATAATCAACCTATAAAGGGCCTGTTTAAGTTTAAGGGGTTAGAGGGGTTTAATAACCCGTCCTGCAGTCCCAGAGAGACTCTGGATCGCCAGTCGCCTCAAGAACCCCGAGCCTGAACAAATTTGTTCCCGTGACCTCAGGATGTATATATAGACTTATGGGTTCTAGGGTAACGATACACATGGCTAAAGGTTCGTGCACAGTAGCATCTGGTACAGAACAGATGATGCAAACAAAAACTGAAGAGGGGGCCAGTGCCAACGGGTGCGGCAGTCTTCGCCAGACTGCGAGATCTCAGAGTTCCGGGGGCAAGGTGCGGCCCTCAGAGCACTCCCATAGGGTGTAGGGTTTAAGGGCTTAGGGTTCAAGGGTTTGAGGGTTTAGGGTTTCCGGGTTCAGGGTTTAAGGGTTAAGGGTTTAGGGTTTGGGGTTTAGGGCTTCGGGTTGGCGCTGGAGTTGTTCCTTCATAGCGGCTTGAGTGTGAATCCAAAGAGCCCTGTTCCGCCCTATGAGCACTTGAAACTCCACAACTCAGGAGGTCCCCCCTTGCTTCCGGAGGCACCTCTGCGAAAAGGTGCTTCGCAACACAAGGCCCCCTGTTAATGGGAGCCAATTCCGTGCGAGGCCTCCACCCGCGAAGTGAGCGCCCTAATTATCTGCACCATTGTTGGGTCCTTGTTGGGTTTAAGTATTCGTAAGAATGCAAACTGATTTTCAACCATGACCCTAATTATACAACAAATCAGCATTCGGAGACCACTAGCGGCTCCTAGACAGGCTTGGGGGTGAGGGGGGATGTCGTGTGCAGCGATGTGAGTGCTTATGGGAGTTGCTGGAGCCATGGCACATAGGGTTTGGGGTTTGGGGTTTAGGGTTTAGGGTTTAGGGTGTAGGGTTTAGGGTTTAGGGTTTAGGGTTTGAAGAAGTACCCGAGGCTTCGCAACGCGCTCGCGATGCCGCCAAGGCTCTTTCGCGGCAATCTCGCGCTGCCTCCCATGCGTTTCACGATGTTTCGTAATGCCTCCAATCTTTTCGCTTGAACGCAATAAAAGTGAAAGGGTACGCGGATCGTGTGAAAATCTCGCCACGCATCCCATGTTCTCCTACGTGAGGTTTCGTGACAAGTTCATGACGTCTCCACTGCTCTGCAACCAGTTTAGAGCAAAACGCGCACGGCATTCTGCGACATAATCGCGACGCCTGCGACGTTCTCGCTAGCACGTGAACAAAGAGCGCGACTTTCGCGACGATTCTTTGATGCCCCTCAATAGGAATGACCTGAAACAAGCACGAGGATGTAACTGTGACGCCCCTGCTATAACAGAACAAAACGCGATCTTTCGTCAAATTTTGCAGCACCTCCAACACACCTCTGCTAAGCACAAGCAATGGAACACGGAAAGGACAGAAGGCTTTGACTGTTTGAGTTTGGCAGGGGGTCGTGTCGTAAAGTACAAGCAATCAGGGCTGATCATGTGTTGATCTCTGTGAGCCTTGTCACTGCAGGTCGCATATACCCATATCCCACATACAACACTAAGTAACCATTGCCTACACACATCCCGTGGGCGCTCAGTCGGAGCGGTCTCGTTCGTCTTCCACGTCAAGCTGCACGAGGAGCTCCTTCCATGAGAGGGCAAAGGTGGGTTGCAGAAGCCAGCACGGTGCCTTCGAACCGCTCTTCACGATGCTCAGCCCTATGGGCCCGCTCTGAAACATACCCAAGTATGAACACCACTGCTATGACACCTTTCTTTTACGAAAGCGCCAAAACCCCCTCTGAATTCTTCATGGCATGGACTCCGACCCTGTTCTATGAACCTTCACCCCCTGACTCTGGACCTTCTGGGGGCCCCTTTGTGGATCCCAACTTGTGACACATCCCTTGGACATTCCCCGTGAACCTGCGATGGACCGTTTATGGGCCCGGAAACCTCTTAGTCTAACCCTTTGGTTCTATGGATGATGTAGGAGCAGGTTTTCATCAACATGCGATGCGTGAAAAGCACGTGGATGCATGACCATGCCGTCTGGCAGCCCATGCACCGACGTCGACCAACAAACCAGGTTGCGGATTCAGAGACTGACCGGCTGTGCGGCCGACAGGCTCAATGACTGACGGAGCAACTAGCTGTTGCTGACTCAAAACCCCGTGGGCTGCAGCTTACGAGGCCGACAAAGTCTTGTTGTTTCGGGTAGGAAATGCAGACAGCTGTCCTCTTCAACCGGCTCTATTTGAAAAGGCTCCAAGAACGCTGAACAAAAAGCCCTCTCCATGCTCCCTCAACAAAATCTCACTGAAGATCTCACTGAGGCCCGGAAAACAGATACTCAACAGATCTTGGAGTCCCAGATCCGGACCCCTCCTCGATGCTTGGCACCGAGCCGCCGCCGACCTGTTGGTGCTGAGATGTGGTGAAGGGCTTCGGCTCGGATGAGTACGGCGGGTCGAAGTGGCGCTGCGCGGATCTTGAGATGTTTAGGGGCTTAGGGTCCAGGTTGCTTCCTGTTCGGGGAGGGGCCGGCTATTGCACAAGCCCAGCCCTGCAGCCCTGGTCCCAGCCTCCACGCGCGCAGAGGGCCGGATGGCCTGTGCGAATTCGGGGAGGCTGTTTCGTTGTGGACCATAAAAAGGGGGCCTTCAATCCTCAGGGATAGCCAGTCTCCCTCCCCAAAACGAGTGGGTGCCTCCCAATCTCTTGCTTCGTCGAGGTCCAGCTGCGCAAGCAGCTCCTCCATACTCTTCCTGTGCTGCAAGGCAAATCAATTGCAAAATGGCGCGCTCAGGGCTGTGGATTCGGAAAGCTTCTTCGATTCGCAAAACAATCGCATACTGCATGACTACATGTACTACGTATGCTGCAGCTGTACGTTTCGCGGGGATGACTTTCAAGCGAAGGCGGCCTTCAACCCGTTTGCGAGATGTCTTAAGAGCAAGGTTCTCAACGATGACTCAAGGCGCACCCCTAGGATACCCCAAATCCCTCTGATAGGAACCCCCAAAAAGGGTACCCCCCAACTTCGGAACCCCCACTTTCACAACCCTAAACCCTAAAAACCGGAAAAAAAAAAAAAGACCATTGCGATGCTTCTTCCAAGCTTGTGCAGTCGAGGTGCATCACGCAGAAGCCTGGGCTGCAAGCCACATGACGTCGGATTCCACATGACCCCAGCAGACCACGCGAAACCATGAATGAAACCATCAGTGGAACCTGACTTACTTGTACTCTTCGCAGTGATCCGTGCTTTTTTTGCAAAGTATAGGAGATCATTTGGAGCAGAGTGGGGTTCGTAGCAGTTGATAGATCACTCCTAGGACGCAAGCCAACACAGAGGTCCCAATCCCTCAACCCATACCTCACACTCAAGTTTGCCTACTCTCAGAAGCAGGCTCCCACACATCAATTCAAACTGCAATACCCCTCAAATACTCACATTCTGACGATCTCACGGACGTTGTCTGTGGAACCTGTTGCATGTGCTGGGGGGAGGTCCGAATACAGCTGACGTGGCTACCCAGCCCAAAATCACGCACCGCGTGACTGTCATAGGATCACCATGAGAACCTTAGCTTAGGGACCGGTGCCAAACCATCACGCCGAGAAGCCTTCCCCCTCCCCTTCCTCAGAGCTGCTGGCGCCCTGACGGGGAGGACGGGTGTTGTGTCGTTCTTCTGTGTTTCTTGTTGCCAAGACTTGCTGCTTCAGACCCCTGCACAAGTTATGTCCTGGAGCTTTCGTTTGAGCGAAAAATCCTGACTCGTGGGGCGGCGGGGGGCAGGGGCGTGTAGGGTGGGAGGGGCGCGTTGGGGCATCCTTCAAGTGAAAACGGTTCAGGCGTCCGTTTCAGCGCAAACTTACCGGGCACTCTCTTCCATGCGCACATTTTTTAGCTGTTCTCTGGTTTGTGCTTGTCTTTTGAAGGGGAAGGAACACCACTTCTGCGCATCCCCATTCAACAAGAATCAGGCCCGAAAACCCCCGGGCGCTTGCAAAGAGAGCACGGGGCGGTGGGGGGGGGGGGGGGGTTATTTAGGGGTTAGTTTGGGCCTACTTAGGTTTATAGGGACTGTATAAGGTATATACAGGGGCCTCGAAGAACATGGTCACCGAGTCGTCCGCTCCGGCGGAGATGGCTGCTTCGGCCCACTCCTGGATGCCTCGTCTGCTTCAGAGCTGCGCCAGGGCCACGGCCAGGGCTTTCGGCTTGCCGGGCCGTAAGGGGAAAAAACGTGTTTGGGGTTTAATCCGAGCATCTGATTAATTAATACCCCCACATTTAAAGAAATTTTTTTTGGCCGGAAGCCCGCCGGAAGACTACTTTCCATTAGGGTGGATTTCGTATGGGACAAACCCCCCACATTTAAAGGAATTTTTTTTGGGGGGGTTCAAAAATCTGTCGGCAGGCTTCTTGTTTTGCTTGCGGAGACGCAAAGCTACAGCACCTCAGGGATCTGCAGCCTATTGTTTTTAATAGAGAATCAATACAGGGCCATGGTCCAACTATTGCGGAACCCTGCATTCCTTATTGTGGGGGGGGGGGGGGGGGGGGCCCTACCCACTAATCAGAAGCTCGGATTAGGGTTTAGGGACATCCAGGACAGGCTTCGGGCCTCAAGCAGCCTTGGCCATCGATCTGCGCACAGAGCACAAGGCCACAAGCAAGGTCAGGGTCAGCCAGGGCTACGAGTTCCGAGGGCCGTACCGGACCACATACAGTCGAACATTGAATCATTGGCTCGCTGGTTTTTGAACCCAACTCTATCAAAAGCTCAAAAATCATATGAAGCTCAGGGTGAAAAAGTGCAGACAAGCCGCCCCAAGGCAGAATGTTCTCAACGTCGCATTCGCCTTGGACTCAGCTTATAAGAATCCTGGGCCTTTAGATCCTATGAATACTAGCTTATTTGTTTTGACATGTCATTGCCATCTTGTTGTCATTTCGTTGTCATTTCTATTTGTTGTTTGTTTGTCATGTGTTTTGTCATTTTGTTTCGTAAACTCCTATTTTATGCTTGTCCTTTGTTTGTCTATTCTGTGCGAGGGCTTCTGCTGGCCAGGGCCCAAAAGAGCCACCACACCCTGGAAGCATCCCGAGACCCCTGAAAGTGGGTCAAACACCTAACACCGCCCAAACCCCCAGCTGCATCCTTCTCAACTCAGATTCCCCTGCCATCCGCCTGCGGCAATCCCCAGACTCAGATGAGCCCTCAACAAACAGACTCCGCCGGTGAAGCCATGTCACGACTGACTCTCCTGCCGACTTTTTGGGGGTTTGGAGGCTTTTTGGCACACGAGACTCAAAGCTTGGGACCTGCGAACCAGGTTCTGAGGTTGGAGGCCTCCGTGCAGCTACGGGCTACGCCACCACTGCTCACTCGTCTCAGGTTTCGATTCCATCACCAAGTTGATGAGTTCATGCTTTCTACCGCCGTGTTCGCAGCCCAGAGTGAACAATAATCCTAACTAAGTGGCGAGAGAGAGAGAGAGAACAACAAAAGAGACCCATAAGCGAAGACTCAAGCATTAAGGTGGTGTTTGCGCGAACGAACAGCTGAACGAGCGCGGACTTTTGCAATATAGTGTGAGAAATAGCCCGTGCGAAGTGAGTGAACAAGTGAACAAAGTAAACACATGACCAAAGTGAATGAACGCACGGGCGGATTCAAAGACATTGTACGTGGGTGAATGGGCTAACGAAGTCATTTTATGAATGCCGTTCCCCATTATAGTTCTTCTCGTACGGGCGCAATAATCGCAATATTAATAACATAACGTGCTAACGTGCTAGCGAACAAGCGAAAGAAGTGAGCCAGCGAACGCCCCGAAAGCCCAATCAACACTTATGAAATTATAAGGAACAAAGACAAATTGTTTGTGGGGTTTTGCCGTTCACACCCTTGAAACCGCATGCAAGATTAACTGCTCTCTCCCTGTCACACCTTGAGACCCAACCTCTGTTTCCAAGCCACTAAGAACCTCTCATATCTTTTCTTGACCTTTCCCACAAACCCGTGTTCACCTTAATGTCGCGAGCTACTGACCGGCTTAGACACCTTAAGATTCGTGAGTCTTACAGCCGCAGCTGGAACTAGAAGCATGAGTCCTCTGTCTTCATCTTCCAGTCTCGGGTCAAAAGGTGCGTCCCCACAAGATCAACCCCCGCCATTTCCGGTCCACGCCCTGAAGCTCCTGCAACTCCCCATATTTGCCCAACGAGCTCTCCTCCACTCGTGCCCGTGGCCGGGGTGTGGGAACCGCCGGGGGCGGTCGCGGACGCCGTCGCTGGGTCCGACCTTGGGAGGGATCGTTGGGGGCCCCTAGGGAATGTGCTATAATATGTGCTAGGCCCCTATACCCTGGACACACACCTCAAATTCACCCCTGAAGACAGCTTGAGCATGAGCGGCTGCTCGACACCACCCGAAAGAAGCCTCCGACTTTATCACTGCCGAGACATGAACCACGGAATCCCACGGAAGAGGGCATCCAGCAATCCGAGGGCAGCGCCATGGCTCCCCGAACGATGCTGGCAGGCTCTTTCTGTACACCTGCAACAGCTCGAGAGACGCAGAGGACTCTGATGTGTGTAAAACTCTTACATGGAGTAGCTCTGACTGGTGAACTGTCCCAGGAACCTTCAGAGGCAGCCTCTCAACTTCAGGAAAGTTCGTGTGATGCCCCTGTTTTCGGCCTGCCCAGGGCTCCCAGGCGCCCGCCGGGTTTTGGGCGCCCTCGCCGCTGAGGGGCAGGAGGAGCACCAGCTGGCTCGGGGTGTCCTCTTCAGGGGAGGAGAGAACCTCCCTCCTTTCGGGCCGGGGGGTTCTCCGTTCTTTTGAGGCGCTCCCCTTGCCTTTAAAAAGGGACCCAAGGCAGCTTCGGGCCCTGGCTGTGCTTGCAGGTCATGTGCTTGAGTTTTGATACGAGAGCCTCCGGTTCTCCCCCAGCCTGCCGGGCCAAGAAGGAGATCTCCAGCTCCTCGAACCCACATTTTGACTCCACGTCGTGCAAGCTTTGGGGAGGGGGCTCAGGGGCTCAGGCTTTGTGAGGGGCGTGCTTAAAGCCTTCACTCCGACGCAAAACTGCAGTCCAGGCGCCCACCAGTTCCCAAACTGCGAGGGAAGCAGTGACCGGACAACCTGGCCGAGAAACCGGGCTTACCCAAGAACCCCCCAAGAGCCCCCCCAGCAGAGTCCCAGAGTCTTGAGAGCAACGAGGCCGAGAGCGCCCCGATTCGCTCCACGAGGCCGTTGCGGAGGCACACAAATCGGCCCAGCGAGTCGTAGCAGTGCACCTTTCAGGGAGGAAAAACGGGGAAACTTCTCGGGTACAGAGCAGGGCAGAGCATGGTTGGCAAGCGCATTGCGGTCGTGAAGAGCTTCCTAGAGGCTTCGAGCGCTGAGGAGTCTGGGGCCTTACTTCAAACTCCGGGACTCCCAGAAAGCCCAGTGAACACGAGATTTCTGACACCAAAAAAGTTCCGAAAACCGAACACTCTCCCCCCGACTCTCCCCACTGGCCACGTTTTCCGGGGTTTTGGGCATGTCATGCACTGGGGAACTCGGCTCGCACTCACGAAGCTGAGGGGTTCCAGGGTTGCCGGAGGAGGGCTTAGACGGTGCCCAAATTCCTAAAACGACAACTCGGAGCCCCAACTCAGGGAGCGAGTTGTCAGGAATCTTAGTGAATGATGTGGGGTTTAGGGTTTAGGGTTTAGGGTTTAGGGTTTAGGGTTTAGGGTTTAGGGTTTAGGGTTTAGGGTTTAGGGTTTAGGGTTTAGGGTTTAGGTTAGGGTTTAGGGTTTAGGGTTTAGGGTTTAGGTTTAGATGCTTCCGGTGCGGCAGAATTGCATAAGGGGGTTGGGGGCAAGACATCTCCCATGCCCCCTCGAACCCCTCCGCTTCGCAAGAAAGTCGTTGCCGAAGGTCTGGGCGGCTTTGCCGTCCATGCAGAGTGATTCGGGTTCGGGATGAAAAGAAATCGACCGACATATCCGGGGTCTGGTGTCTTCAGAAATGGACGCCGAATCACCCGGACCGCAAGCTAAAAACAGGCTTGGCCCATGCGCTTGCGGTCATGCGCTTGTCATGCGATTGCCATCATGCGATTGCAGGCTAGAGAGATCTGCAGGGCCCTTTGGGCATTGCTCACCCTAACTTCCGGATTCCGGAGAATGGAGGTTCAATGCCCCTCAAAGATCTCATTCTTCGATTCGATGTCTGCGCTGCGCGCCCAGGGTGCCCGGGTCGTCCACTCGGGTCTACTCTTCTTAGGAGGAAAGGCCGCTTCTCAGAGGAGGAGAGTCGAGAGTGCGGGTCGCCTTCCCTGAGTCATTTATATCACCTTCTAGCAACCTCTGAAATTCTCGCGGCCACATCCAAGAGGTCAAGCAAGAGAAACCTGGAGCCTGCCTAGGGTGCTGAATCGCTGACGTGCACTATACATGAAGCGCACGATACATGATGACACCTCTTCATCAATGCAAAATAACATTGACATGTTGCATTTGAAGGGCCATATGGCGGCTTTCCGCCTTTGGCACCTTCGGGGGGGGGGGGGGGGCGTTTCGATTGTTCGTGGGGCCACTATAGGGTGTGCTGCACAGGGCTTTTGTGGCTCGCTCACCCAGGGCTTAGCACCGCAGTGAAATTCTCTGTAATTCTCCGTAGCATGCTGGCATGCTGCTGTGCCTGTGACAGCGACATGGCACAAAGGCGAAGTGGCGCGAAGTCCTTCGGATCGGCATCTTCGGTGGGAAGATTAGGCCAGCTCCGCTCGACCAGGCCGCTGCTAAGGGGTCCAGCTCCCAACGCAAGAACTTCTATTCAGATTCTTTTCCTTGCCAGCTTTTGAATAATCTTCATGAGATTCTGAGGCTGAAGGACTGGCCGACATCCGAACCCTAACTAGCCTCATCGCCAAACCCTAAACCCAAGTTGTCTGGGAAGGTCTGGACTCTCCCTGGCTGTTTCAAAACGGCGAAGGCATCGGGTTGGCGCCGTGCTCTAGAGACTCTAGCGGCCAAGGCATGCACGGGGATTCAGGGAATGAGGTTCAGGAATATATGTACACTGCGTGTTCCATCTATGCGTGCATATGGCAAGTTCGAAGCTACGTTTGTAGGCGCCTCACAAAACCCTAGCGCCTGAATTGAAAAGGAGAAAACTTCGGCACAGCCGAACGTTTCTGTGTTGAAGCAGCACAATGCCCAAGAGTTCCGGGCCCAGGCCTGGTGGCCTCAAGGACCTCAGGGCAGAGGTTTATGGCTTCTGGTCTCCCCAGAGCTATGCAAAGCAAGGGCAGCCCCCAAAGACACCTCCAAAGTTAGTGCAAAAAGAAGCACAAGCCAGAATGCCTGAAGGTACAGAGGGCGATCCTGCCTCAGTCTTCCTGGAACTCCAGTCCAATTTGCCCACTTCCACCATCGGAGGCCTAGCAGGCAACAGTGACCTCACACACGTTGCAACCCCCCAATTTTCGGGTGTGAGCCAAACCAATCTGGGGTCAAATTATTCCCCTATGGTCCCTTTATAATTGTACTATAGTAACCCCCAAAACCCTATTCTAACTTTCCAGCCCTATATTCGGAGGCATCGCTGGCTCCCCCGCTCTCATCGGGCTGCTTGTCGCACGCACTGACAAGCCTTGAACGTTCCCCAAAGCTGCGGCCGGGTCCATGGCTGGTGCTTCACCTCAGACAACGGAAGGAACCACAAAAGACTGCGCACGCCAAAAATCAACCACAACGCCTGCTTGGCGGAGGCAAAACTCTCTCTTGCCAGGCCGGAGGGGGGGGGCCTCTTCTAAACGGCCCGATCTCTCTCTGGACACCCCGCATGTGACAGGCCGAGCACAATGTATTCTCACCACGCGTCGCTGGTGGGTAAGGGAGAGAAACTGAGCCTTTTTGCCCCACACACACATGCGGACACGCATTCACACCCCAAGCTGTGGAACACTTGCCGCACTCCTGGAACCAAAATCAGTGCCCCCAAACTGCTCCAGACAATCCCTTAGCCAAGGCTCAGCTACGAAGATGCTGCCCCAGCTGTAGGACTCGGTCCACTCCACCTTCTTGACACTTACCAGTGGAACATCTGAGATCAGCGATTCCAAGGCGGGGGGGGGGGGGGCTTGCAACAGTCTGAGAGACAAAACTGTAGGCCTCTGGGCGCGACATTGCTTCAAAAAACAAAAGGCAGGGGTGGGCCGCTCCCAATGTGTCTTCAGATCCGACCATGCGACCTTGGGAAGCGCATGCCTGCCCATTATCGGGCTGTCCTTGGCTGATCCAAGGCTCTACGAACTGGCACAGGGGGGGTGTCTCTTCGTCTCTCTTTAAGTCGCCCCCCCGAAAAAACAATCCACAAACCTTCTGCGACACGCGAAGCCGTGAGCGCGAGCGAGCCTTACTTGCCACTCGCGCGATTTTTTGGGTGGTCATGATGGCTCCTCTGACCCTTGGACCCTTAGAAGGTCTAGTCCTGCTAGGGCGGACATGGCTTCTGCACAATGCGGACATGGCTTCTGCACAGTGCTACCTCCTTTTTTTGAACAGCGCAGGGGTGAGAGCACCTTTGCTTTTGAGGGGTCTTTTGTGGGCGTTGGGGGAGCGGTCTGACTTCGAGGTCTGCGATTGCCGTTCTCTCTTCTGGCGGGAGTCTTGGAGTGTTCTGATGTGACCCAGTTGATCCCTCACCATCCTCAAACGTCTGCTCGGCTGATGTCGGATCCTCAGCCCAACTGCGCCGGGCATCGAAAGGCCCGCTGCCGTCTACGTCGCCACCAGCACTGAAGGTGAGTACTCGAAGCTCGGAGCGGGTGTGGCCTGGAAGTGGACGTTCACTGGGGTTTTGACGGGGGTCTTCGGAAGGCTTCTGGGGGGATCTGTCAAAATATTTTCTGAGATGTGCAGAGTCAGGCGAACCCTTTACACTGGTCATCTTGTTGTGAGTGCTGTGGCGGTGCCAATCTTTGCCAAGTACCTTATGGAAAGCTTTGGGGTCTACAGGGATACAGTTGAAAGGCGTTGGGCCAAGCCTCGTACTGAAAACCAGTACACGTAACCATGGTCCACACATAGAGCCGAACTTCAACAAAAAGGAAATGCACCAAAGCAAGACATGAAGCGTTCCTGCTCGCCCCAACACTGCACACCCCTTCGTGTCCGCAGGCCTTTCCCCTCGTGAATAGTCGCCTTCCACGTGCCAGACCTGTTGATCTTCTCGGTCTCTTGAAGGCTTGTGGAGCAGAAGGGTTTCATACGGCTGATCAAGAACATCACTGCACGGAAGCTCCCGAACCCATCCTGACATCCTCTAACCTACTCGTGAATGAAGCTCGGGGGTCTCGAAACAGTATTCGTGTGTGCCTACAAGGCCTGCAGCTAAACAGCTTCAGACCTCCTAGACTTGAGCCGCACCCTTGTTTGGTGTTGCCGGGAGCCTGATCTTGACAGCAAGCGCTTCCGCGACCTCCCGGGGTCGGCAAGTGCAAAGTGGATGCAGACAATGTCTACTCGAACACGTCCACTGAGAGAGAGACAGAGAGGAGGAAGAGAGAGAGAGAGAGGGAGGGAGAGCGAGAGAGAGCGAGAGAGCAAGAGAGAGAGAGAGAGAGAGAGAGAAGAGAGAGAAGAGAGAGAAGAGAGAGAAGAGCGAGAAGAGCGAGAAGAGAAAGAAGAGAGAGAAGAGCGAGAAGAGCGAGAAGAGAGAGAAAAGAGAGAGAAGAGAGAGAAGAGCGAGAAGAGAGAGAAGAGAGAGATGAGAGAGAAGAGAGAGAAGAGAAAGAAGAGAGAGAAGAGAGAGAAGAGAGAGAAGAGAGAGAAGAGAAAGAAGAGAGAGAAGAGCGAGAAGAGAGAGAAGAGAGAGAAGAGAGAGAAGAGAGAGAAGAGCGAGAAGAGCGAGAAGAGCGAGAAGAGAGACAAGAGAGACAAGAGAGAGAAGAGAGACAAGAGAGACAAGAGAGAGAAGAGAGAGAAGAGAGAGAAGAGAGAGAAGAGAGAGAAGAGAGAGAAGAGAGAGAAGAGAGAGAAGAGAGAGAAGAGAGAGAAGAGGGAGCAGAGAGGGAGAAAAAGACAAGAGAGAAGAAAGAGAGGAGAGGGAGAAGAGAGAGAAGAGAGAGAAGAGAGAGAAGAGAGAGAAGAGAGAGAAGAGAGAGAGAAGAGAGAGAGAAGAGAGAGAGAAGAGAGAGAGAAGAGAGAGAGAAGAGAGAGAGAAGAGAGAGAGAAGAGAGAGAGAAGAGAGAGAGAAGAGAGAGAAGAGAGAGAAGAGAGAGAAGAGAGAGAAGAGAGAG